AATAATTAAAAATAAAAATATAAATGTTTATGATGATGACTATGATTACCATATAAAAATAAGGTTTTAAATATTAATAATGGAAATTTGAAAAGATGCTTATCATAAAGGAAATACTAATAAATTCAATAATATCAATGACAATGCTAATGATATAAATTTATGATGTTGCTGATGATGGTCAATGAAAATTTTATTTTCAATCATTATATTATGAAAATGATAATGCCAATGATGATGGAAATAGTCATAAACAAAATGATAACAATGTGAATGTGAATTTGTTTATGCGATTTGGTCAATAATAATAATGATATTAAAATTAGCAAGGAAAAAGATTTTTGTTTTTTGTTTCTGCCTGAATATGATAGCGATGCCATTAATTAGAGTTCAAATGGTAATGATGTAGATAAACATAATAATTATAATCATAATGGCAATCACAATGATTATCACAAGCCATTAAATATCACAAACGATACGCATACGAAATTAGCATTTCAGCACAGTCATCAGCTCAACATCTTTATTGATTATGTGAGACGTCCACTTGGGTCTGTTACAACTGTCGTGTGGCAATACGCACTGGACTTGGTGGGTAAATAAAACTACAAATAATCAGATTGCTTTTGAGCCATTAAAACTGTATTCCATTTATCCCGGCTCATAAAAGTGACCAATTTGAACAAGTTGAAACGTGTTTTCGTGGGCTTTTGCGATGATCAACGGTTTCGTATACAGGTGCTGAGAGGTGAATGGAATAAAAACATCAATTACGCCATTAAAGTTTTTTTTCTTCACTTATAAAGCGGACTGGCCCCTCTGCGCTAGCCGAGGTTGGTGTCGTTTTGCTCTTGACTTTGAACTTGGCTGGCGCATTTTGTTGCTTGATCGTCACTTGACTTGATTAGCTCAACAAATTCTATCAGACTGAAACTCTTTTCTCGCATTCGCGCACTGTCATCGATTCTCTAGAGTTCTTGACTTACTCAAGTCATTGCAGTCACGAGAAGTTTTGCTATTTCTATCAAATAGACTTTTAATGCGGATTTTGGTGATTGCAGCTCTGACACAATTACTTGACACATTTACTCGACTCTTTCGTACAATTAGCTTGTTAAATATAGAACCACTTGAAGTTGCCTTGATTGGAATGTTGTTTCAAATAAATAATCAATTTTAAATCAATTATTTTTACATGCAACAAAATTTAGTGAATTAAAGTTCAGTCTCCTTTTAATTAGCAATATTTACAAATTTTGCGCATAATAAAACAAAAGTGGTTATTAATTGAAGCATCTTTTATAATGAGTTATTTATATTTACAATGCACTAATTATTTATTATTTAAAAAAGCATTATTTATTATTAAATTAACTATTTTTGAATTTTTTGATGTTACAATAAAATACCAATATTATAATTATTGTATTGTGTAAAATGCAATATTTTAATATATTTAGGCATTATTTAAATTACGAAGGATAATTTATTTTAGTTAAATTAGTTATACATAAATATTATTATGTATAACTAAGCATTTATTATTTTTATTGAATTAATTCTTGCCTCAAAAATAAATTTCAGCATTCCCAAATTTTTGCTTGCTAAGCGCCATCTATGTATTTCAACTGCAACTATGGAAATATTGTCAGTGTGTACCTACGAAACTGTGCAAAATCCGCACACCATATTAGTGCAAAAGAATTACAATAGATGGAGCTATGCAATATATAGTATTTGAAATGAGCAATGTTGAAGGTCTAGTGGATGGTATCTTTTTAGGGAGTTGCTAAGGAAGTTGTTGGCAAGGAGGTTGATGTATCTGTCTATGGGCTTTGATTAATATAGAAATATCCTAATGAGAAGGAACTCCTATCTTTTCGAGAAATTTCTGTGGTTGAGTGGAATAAATCAGCATTGGAATTTCCTCTTAGTGCTTAGGTTTGGAATTTCTGTATGACGTTATAGCTGAATTAGGGAGCTGGAATATGTAATATGAATATACAATAATGTTTCTGTTTGTTGTGTCCTTATTTAAAACTTAAATTTTATTCTATTTTTATAATGACAAAATAAATTACAAATTGTTTATTATTTATTATTCATATGTTATATTTAACAACAATAATCATATAATAATAAAAAGTTAAATCAATTCAATTTTTAAATTAATTTAAATTTAAATTGGATGCCGTTAAAAGTATGCAAATCCACTGTTCATATTAGTGTATAGAATATTCATTTATATATCAATGGACCCTTCTTCTGTATTTCAGAAATATTGCTTAGCAATTCTGACATCTGTTATCGAAAAAAAAGAAAACCTTCTGCTTTGCATTTCCACTTGAGAGAGGTCTTTGCAATAACATTGAAAATCAAATTTTCGCCAAGAGTTTCGAGTTTTTCTGCTGCATTCAGTGAAAACCACAACAAAACAGCTGCATCAAGAATTCTGCTTAGCCAGCAAACGCTTGAAATGTTATAAATGCTGAACAGTCGTGGCAAGTGCTGAGCATTTCGAGCCAAGTTGACATCATGACAGACCACAGAGAATTTCTAGCAGCCGCAATTATTTTATTGTTGGGTAAGTCCCCACTAGAATAAGTCGATCTCAGCAATGGGATTTTAATGATTTTGTTATACTCTTCAGCCATGCGACATTGCATTGCCGTTCCCTATGGCTCGCCTGGCAACGAGATTGACGGCGATGGCAGCTACCAGGGCACGGGAGGCAGCTCCGCCAGTGGACGAGCCGTCGACTACCATACAGTCGTGGGCCACTTTAAGGACTTCTTCATGTATCTGCCAGTGATGATGACCACATTGAAGGAGACCATGTCCGGTTTTCCCAAGTTTGCCGAGGGCATGCGCATCCTGACCTCGGGCAAGGGCCGTGTGGACGGCGAGGACTGCAAGTGCAACCAGAACAGTTTGGCAATTGGATCCAGTGCTGAGGTATTGGACAATAGCAGCCGATTTGGTTAGGACCGCGCTGGGAGCAGTGACTGTGTATATAGCTTGTGTAAATATGAATATGAATACCTAGTGCCAAGTAAAATAAATTAGTGTAATTTTTAACTTAACCTAACATATATTTAAGCACGTAAAAGATTTCATCATAAATGAGAAATACAATTAATATAAATTAAAGAAAAGTAAAAATAAATATTTGAAAATATTTAATATAGCACTAGAGGACAAATAGAGAGAGAGAGAGAAACCAGATAGATAGTCATATACGAAAGATAAAGATAGACATAGACACCAGTATAACTAGATAATTAGTAAGAGTCAGAGTGGGTGAGTGGGCATGAAGGGAATATAGATCAGTAGAGTTAGATACAGAGATATGGTTCGATAGAGTGAGAGTAAGAGAGTATAAAAGAGACAGAGGGAGACAGTGAGAGAGAGAGAGAGAGAGGGAGGGCGAGAGAGCAGCAGACTGAACTATGGTTCGAGAGTGAAAGTGAGCGAGAGAGTATTAATGTTTATTTGAGGTAGAGAGAGGAAGTGAGAGTCAGCAAGTGTGCGTGAGAGCACGGTGTAATATACAAGGTATGATATACATTAAGTGTGAGAGAGAGGGAGATAAAGAGAAAGAGAGAGTAAGAGATAATAATCTGGTGAGGGTAGAATTGATTAGTTAGTCGATCATTAAATTAGTAGATGAGTTGGTGGATCTGTAAGGCAGACAGTTGAGTGATAAGTTAATTACTCCATCAGTGATTCACTAAGCCGGCTAGCCAATCAATTAGGTTCAGCGCATACTTTGCTCATTAAACATTGATTTAAATTTCATTTAAATATGTTTGACAACTTTCTTCGTTAATTTCCTCTAACGATTATTTCATTCCGTCTGTCCACTAAACTGTAATTGTGGCATATTACGCATATGGCCGCGGTTATGAGGCACTTGAATAACTGTAAACTTGACCCACAGGACTCGCAATGTCCTTGAGCGTAAGCAAGTCATAAGAAAGTCTGTTCTGGTAATCCTATATTAACTATTAGGCAATCATCCGTCCTGATTGGACTTGAACTATATTTGTATTTTCTTAAGCAGGCAATAGTCGCCAGCGACGTTTCATTAGCCCAGTCAGCTCGCCCGGCAGAGAATGGAAATCGTAATCAAAACTTACAATCTGCATCGGGGCGGGCAGTCGCAACTGGTTTGGTTGTTGGTGTCCTGTCATATTTACACTTGTCATTATTGTTAATTGTGTTTGTTGTGGGTCAGGCACACATGCGGGCCATATTTACACATATTCGCCGGGTGCCAGCTGCATGGAAATTCAAGTTTTAGTAACGCTCGGGTCTCTGTGTCTAACGGTCGGTTGTGAAATCGAAAAAGGAAAATTCATTGGCAACTGTACTTCGGGGCCAGTATGCGAAAGCGAAAAAAGTTTCTCAGATACTAGAGCAGCTAACAGTTATTTAGATTAGTCGAGTCTAGTCTGAGTCTAGTCTGAGTCTAGGTCTAGATCCAGATGGCCACAGGCATCGAGCTGATGGTGGCTGCCGCGCTGTGCCTGGCCTGTCCGCCGATGAATAATACGCTGCCTGAGGAACTAATACTACTGGACGAGTTCGGCAGCGTGGTGACAGATGTGCCCCTCGATGTGCACGCGGAGAACGTGGGTTTGGATGAAGAGACGCCCATGGAAACGCTCGAGGTGTTGCGCAACAAGCGGGAGAAACTGCGCAACATGAAGGCCTGGATCAATGGCCGGCATCTGCGCATAGCCACGCTCGAGGACTACCCTCTGAGCTACACCGAAGTGCTAGAGAATGGCACTCGGGTGGGTCATGGCGTCTCCTTCCAGATCATCGAGTTCCTTCAAGAGAAATTCAACTTCACCTACGAAGTGGTTGTGCCCCAAGACAACATACTTGGTTCGAAAGTCGATTTGGATCGCAGTCTCATTGAAATGCTCAACAATAGCGTGAGTTTCTCTTACACTCTTAATCTGGCATTCCAAATATCCCTCTCTCTCCCTCTCTCTCTCTCTTGGAAGACAGGAGGTGGATATAGCTGCTGCCTTCATACCCTCTCTTTCGGAGCAGCGCAGCTTTGTCTTCTACTCCACAACGACTCTGGATGAGGGCGAGTGGATCATGGTGATGCGAAGACCGCGAGAGTCGGCCGGGGGTTCTGGCTTGCTGGCGCCATTCGAATTTTATGTCTGGATACTCATTTTCGTCTCCCTGCTGGCCGTCGGACCCATCATCTATATGCTCATCATAGTCCGAAATCGCCTCACAGGCGATACAAAGCAGCAGCCGTACTCCCTGGGCCACTGCGCCTGGTTCGTCTACGGCGCACTCATGAAGCAGGGCAGCACCCTCTCCCCCATCGCAGGTGAGCCAGCAATTAACCTAAATGCAGCGATAGCCATCTGCAATTTGAACTGCATTTGGCCCGTGAGCTGCGCTCGGTTCACTGGACATGCAATCGCCGAGTTTGTCGATTCAATTATCATTTATATATACATATATAACATACATATACTACATATATGTTTAATCGCAGACTCGACACGCCTCCTCTTTGCGACTTGGTGGATTTTTATTACGATTTTAACCTCTTTTTACACGGCCAATTTGACGGCGTTTTTGACCCTCTCGAAATTCACTCTGCCCTACAACACGGTCAACGATATTCTAACGAAGAACAAACATTTTGTTTCCATGAGGGGAGGAGCCATTGAGTATGCCATTCGCACTGTAAGTTCTTCTACATAAACAGATACAGATTCAGATACAGATACAGATACAGATACAGATACAGATACAGATACAGATACAGATACAGATACAGATACAGATACAGATACAGATACAGATACAGATACAGATACAGATGCAGATACAGATACAGATACAGATACAGATACAGATACAGATACAGATACAGATACAAATACAGATACAGATACAGATACAGATACAGATACAGATACAGATACAGATGCAGATACAGATACAGATACAGATACAGATACAGATACAGATACAGATACAGATACAAATACAGATACAGATACAGATACAGATACAGATACAGATACAGATACAGATACAGATACAGATACAGATACAGATACAGATACAGATACAGATNATACTCATTTTCGTCTCCCTGCTGGCCGTCGGACCCATCATCTATATGCTCATCATAGTCCGAAATCGCCTCACAGGCGATACAAAGCAGCAGCCGTACTCCCTGGGCCACTGCGCCTGGTTCGTCTACGGCGCACTCATGAAGCAGGGCAGCACCCTCTCCCCCATCGCAGGTGAGCCAGCAATTAACCTAAATGCAGCGATAGCCATCTGCAATTTGAACTGCATTTGGCCCGTGAGCTGCGCTCGGTTCACTGGACATGCAATCGCCGAGTTTGTCGATTCAATTATCATTTATATATACATATATAACATACATATACTACATATATGTTTAATCGCAGACTCGACACGCCTCCTCTTTGCGACTTGGTGGATTTTTATTACGATTTTAACCTCTTTTTACACGGCCAATTTGACGGCGTTTTTGACCCTCTCGAAATTCACTCTGCCCTACAACACGGTCAACGATATTCTAACGAAGAACAAACATTTTGTTTCCATGAGGGGAGGAGCCATTGAGTATGCCATTCGCACTGTAAGTTCTTCTACATAAACAGATACAGATTCAGATACAGATACAGATACAGATACAGATACAGATACAGATACAGATACAAATACAGATACAGATACAGATACAGATACAGATACAGATACAGATACAGATACAAATACAGATACAGATACAGATACAGATACAGATACAGATACAGATACAGATACAGATACAGATACAGATACAGATACAGATACAGATAATAAATATTCTTCTTTCATTTAGACGAATGAATCCCTATACTTGCTAAATCGAATGATTCAGAACAATTATGCCGTGTTCACGGAGACCTCGAATGATACGTACAATCTGCAGAACTACGTGGAGCGGAACGGATATGTGTTCGTGCGCGATCGACCTGCGATTAATATAATGCTGTATAGGGATTACCTGTACCGTAAGTCGGTCAGCTTTAACGATGAGAAAGTGCACTGTCCGTTCGCCATGGCCAAGGAGCCGTTTTTGAAGAAGAAGCGAACCTTTGCCTATCCCATTGGCTCGAACCTCAGCGAGCTTTTCGACCCCGAGTAAGTTAAGCAGTTAATTGTTGATATCAAATGCTAAGCAATTACTTTTGTTAGACTTCTCAATCTGGTAGAGTCTGGCATCATCAAGCATCTGTCGGCCCGGGAGTTGCCCAGCGCTGAGATTTGCCCACAGGATTTGGGCAGCACGGAGCGGCAGTTGAGGAACGGAGATCTGATGATGACCTACTATATAATGCTGGCCGGCTTTGCCACCTCCTTGGTCGTCTTTACCACAGAGCTGCTGTTCCGCTACATCAATGCCCGCCACGAGGCCAACAAGTGGGCGCGGCACGGCATCGGTCGCTCGCCCAACGGGCAGTCCGTCAAGCCGTCCAGGTGGCTGCGCGGCCTGCGACGGTTGCACAGTGGCGATAAGCAGCTGCTGGGCTCGTCCACACATGCCCAGAATGTGACGCCACCGCCTCCGTATCAGAGCATCTTCAATCATGGCGGGGAGCACCAGTGGCATCAGGCGGGCAAGGGGCACGGCCTGGTTCTGGGTGGCAACCAGAACGGAGTGCGACGCATGATTAATGGCCGGGACTACATTGTCTTTCGCAATGCGAATGGCCAGAGCCAACTGGTGCCAGTCCGGTCGCCATCGGCAGCTCTGTTCCAGTACACCTACACGGAGTAGCCAAGCTGAGAGGATGAGGATGAGAGAATAGGAAGATGAAGAAGAGACGACTTTTTCTAGCAAACGAACACAATTTGATGCACTTCATCACAATCACAATTAGCTCGAATGCATAGACGTAGACAATGTTTTGGTCCAGTTTTAACAGTCCTCTAGATAGATTTAAGATACATACTACATATGTGCGAGGTGTGCTTAAAGAGTACAGAGAAGTTCAGGTAATTACCTTTCAGCACAGCTCGTAGATTAAGAGAGTTACAGAAACTTTGACGTCTTTTGTGGGAGAAGACTAAATATAAAAGTAGAAGCGAAAGAAGTAGGTCTTATATGGAAAATGTAGGAACTAAATGATAGATACGAATTATGACTTAAGGCCTGGATAAAGGAGAACGAACCTACTGTCTATATATTTGAATAAAATAAAAAATATATTGATAGTTCCTTTTTAGTTCAATAGACAGACAGAAAAAGAAATAATCTGATTGCCTGGAAGTGGTGAGAGAGAGAAAGAGAGAGAGAGTGAGAGAGAGAAAGTGGGAGGGCGATGAGTAGGGAGAGACTATGAAGTACCCCTTACTTGGTATATATTCAATTTCGTTGTTAAGATACCAAATCTGATGGCATGGATTTAAATCAGAGAAAAATTCTTTGCCAATTTCTATATCTTATATAAAGAATTCAGTTCGATTTGAAAATAGATTATCAAAGTTTCCATAACTTCATTATTTAGCAAACAATCATGAATATACGAATAATTCCTATGTAGAATTTCCCTTTATAAATTTGCCTTAATCGGTCCCGACTAGTCACAAAGAACATCAAGGTTTCTATAGCTTTATTAATTAACAACAATTATTGAATGCATATTTATATAATCTCTAAAAATCAATCACAATAAATTTCTAGTTGTTTTGTGAGCAATTGTGACCTCGCATTGTGTCTAGTCGAAGGTGCCATGCGCATTGAAGGTGTAGGCGGCGGAGTGCATATCCAGGCTGCTGTGCGAGGAGTCGGAGCTGATGGAGGGCGCGCGAGTCGAGCCGGCTGAGGAGCTGCCCGACGATGAGCCGCTGGAGGAGCTGACCCAGGCATGGCCACTGCGTCGACGTCGCTGGCGCACCAGGCCCAGCACAGAGCCGGCAACAGGTGTGCTGGACGTGGAGGATTGGCGTTGATAGCGTGTCGAGTCCAGTGTGACGAAAGCTGACGCAGCTCGTCGAGTTGCAGCATTATTGTTGTTGTTGTTGTTCTGTGGAGCAGTTGCTGGCCTTGGGGCAGACTCCGAGTCGCTGGAGAATGAACTGTGGTTGTCGTCTGGCTCAGCGCTCAGTGCCTCTGGCGGATCCTCATTAATGGATTGCCCATCGAGGATCTGCAGCGTGGCCACGCTGCGTCTCAGCATGTCGCGATACAGCGGCAAACGGCACACGGGATTGCCACTGAGCTCCACTTCCGTGAGCTGCGGGCACAGACCCAGAAACGAGAGCAGGCCCAGTTCGCTGATGCGATTGTTGCGCGCCTGCAGCATCTGCAGCTGGCTCAGCTCCGTCAAGGGACCCACGCGCTGTATCATGTTGCCATCGGCGATCAGGACTCTTAGATTGGGCACGCCGCTGGTGCCATCGAAGCTATTCAGGCCACAATTGCTGATGTTCAGATGGGTGAGCTGCGTCAGGCCGTAGCCCAGGTCGCGCAGAGAGCTCAGCACGCTGCCGCTGAGATCCAGTTGCTGCAGACGTGGCAGGAAGAGCGAGAGCCTGGACAGGCTCACCGAATAGGAAATGACACGCAGGCGGACCGTTTCCACCTGCTCCAGATCTGTACGTTGTGTGACGCGACGCTGGAAATATGGAAGGATTGGAATCTGGGATAACGATGGATTGGAGTCAACACACTTACCAGGAGCTCATCAAGCGTTGGCTCCGGCAGTTGTGGCGGCAGCACCACTGGCAGCAAATGCACGAACGCCGGAAAGTGTTCGGTCTCCTCCACAATGGGCTCATCCCGGTCGAAGGAGTTGCGGCGCTCCAATAGGCGACGGTTTTGTCGCTCCACTTGCAGCTGCTGCTGGTGCTGTTGCTGCTGTCGCGCCTCTGCCGTGGGGGGACGCAGCTGGGCGAGTGCAGCGGGGCCTGGCAGTAGTGGAGCCAGCAGCAGTGGCACCTCCGGCTGCAGTGAGTGCTCCGGAGAGGACTCCGAGTACTCGGCGGGAGCTTCAAGCACAGGCATTTGCGTTGTCTCTTGTCTAATGCGCAGTTTTTGCCTGAGCCTTAACCGGTTGCGTCTTTAGCTGGTTTTGTTATTGACATAACAAGTGCGCAGTTGCCCGAGGCAACGCATCACGGCCAGGGTTGCCAGCCTGTCAGAAAGGAGGGGTATTTGCTTTGACTCGAGCATTTTGTTGTGGCTTTTTAAAAGGACATTTGTGAACTCAGCAGGGAATTGTAAAAGAGCAACTATTTTATTAGTTTGTTTATTTATTTTTTTGTATTTTGTTAGTAAAGCTTGATATTATTTTTGTTTAAATATTTTTAAAAATTTATTTTATTTTATTTTACTTGGTTATTTATTATATTTTATTTATTTATTTATTTAATTTATTTAATTCTACATAGAAGAGCAAATTGCAAAATTTGTATTACTAAGATTTAGTATTACTGGATACTCTTTACAAATTTTCAGCTATGGAATTGATTGAATGCAGATATGATATACTATAACCCTTTCCCTTATAACGTTATACGTAAGATGCCTTTAAATAATAGCCAACTGTTTGCATTTATTTATAAGCATGGGTATTTATTGATTAAAGCTTCTATTCATAAATTATATTGAGATATTTTTAATATGGGCAAATAACGTTCGAAAGGCTGCTAAATGAAGAAGTTACGCTATGCGACAAGCAATGCATTAATACTCCATAGCTCCCACTTAGCCCTCTCAACATTTTGGCTAATGTGGTAACTGACGTCAAGACGTGACGTCACGGTCATGACGTGTGCTCAATGTCGGTTTGCATTGAGCGCGAGAGCCAAAGGGAAAAAGACTAATATACGGTAAGAGCCAAGGAGCGAGCGAGAGAGTGAGAGAGAGAGGGCACAGGGGCGAGGGCAGAGAGTGAGCGAGCTTAGTGCGACAGTTCAAGTGCCAAGCGCCTTTTGGCATTTCAGGGACCATTAGCTGTGAGGCCTTTGCGCTGGCGAATCGCGTTTCGCGCTTTTGTTTTTGCTTTGCGTGTCTGATGCAGCCAGACGACGCCTCTGCACGCTTTACGATAATAAAATTTGCCTGACGCCTTCGGAATGGCAGCGCTGCGTACGAATGGAAGAGAGAGAGAGAGAGAGGGGAGCTTTTGCCGGCTTTTGTGCTGGCGCTCGCTCGTGTCTGGTTTCTTTGTTGTTTTGATTTCGAGAGCTTTCTCGATTGACGTCATCAACATGATGTACAGGCTGAAAGCTGCGCAGTAGCTTGAGCCAAGCTGAGACGCTTCCACGCATTTATCGATTCAGCCGAGCGCAAGGCAGTGCCAGCGAGTGTGTGACAATGACAGCAAAGCAGCAAGCCAGACAGAGACAGAGCGATCGAGAGAGTGTGGGTAAGCGAAATGTCGCAAAAACTACGACAGCTGCTTACTGTAAATCAATTCCTGTGGTTGGGGCAATGGCAGAGAGAGGCTTAAGTAGTCGAGTAGCTTTGCTATTATTATTAGTGGAAAATATATACCGAATAATATAATGTATTTTGGCTGTATATAATGTCATATTTAATGTAATAAATTTAATAAAAGTAACGTCTATTAAGTTTCTCTCAGTGTAGCCAGTTAGCAAGCTCGCAAATGTTTTGGGGCAAGGTGCTGCTAAAAACAAAAATCCCCCACCTTTGCCAACACTGGCGGGTGCCTATAAATAGAATTTGTCAATAATGCCTGCACACACGCACACACAGGCACACGCAGAGTCTGTATGTGTGTGTGGGCGTTAATGCTAGCCACGCACAGCTACTGACGTCATTGTGCAAAGCTTTCGCCTTGCCTGCGCTCGTTACTACGTTTCAGGAAGCAGGACACAAACAACAAGCCACCACCGAATGGGAGTCAGGCCAGCGCCAGGGCATTTCGTTTTGGGCCATTTTGCATTGCTGTTTCGGCCAGGCCAAGTCAGTCGCTTAGCAGCCGCGAACGCGAGCAAAACACACGGTTCTCAGGTCTCCACCGGGCGACCTTCGTTGAGAAGCCACAAAATAGAATTGTTTAAAGTGAATTTACAAAATTTATTCGCAGCGAAAGCCTCAAGCAATATTTAAATATTTAAGCCTTGATCGAAGCAGTTGCTAACTAATTGTGTACAGGAAATTACTAACTTGAAGGCTAAGCACAGCACAGCTGTGTGTGGGTCCCCGTGTGTGTGTGTGTGTGAGTGTGACTGTGTGCGGTGCGCGGGTGTAGCTGCAGCAAGTGCATGCGACGTTTTTGCTGCATAATAATTTGGGTCAAAGCGAAAAGCTGCAGCTTCGCAACTTTGACTGCTCGAAAGTTCAATACGCATCCTGCTGGACGAATCCACCTGTTATGAGGGCACGCCGTAGCTCATGGAACACAGCAGCCGTTGCAGCAACAACAACAACAACAGCAGCAACTAGGGATATAGAGGAAATCGCCTAAGATAATTGAATTGACAGTTCGAGATTTGAGCTAACACACACAATGGAGGCGACTCAGCCCAAGGTGCATCGTCAGCACCAGCGACAGCGACGCACAGAGGCGCGACAGCGGCGCTTGGAGCGGGAGGCAGCCGCAGCGGCCAATACGCCGCCCGATCTGGAGCTGGAAGTAACGGAGGCCGTGCTGGAGACACTCGAGAGCTGTGCGGCGGCACTCAATGATACAGCATCGACGACAACAACAACTACAACAGCCACAACAATAGCGGGTCGCATCAGTGCGCAGAGCTCGGCGGACAGCATCGAAATGGTGGGATCGCCCAGTCAAACCTCCCAGCAGACGGTGGTACTGGTGAACGGCCATGCACCGCCATCGCAGGACACGCTGGAGGAGAGCGCCTCCCTTGGCGCCGATGAGCCGATGGGCGCAGCAGCGGTAGCGGCAGACGCTGGTGCAGCTGAAGGCGAGGCCACCACGCACCTGGAGTCGCCCACACAGCCAACGAAACAGAGCGACGGCAGTCGCAACTCTTCCGGTGATGCAATGAGTCTCCGGGAGACACTGCGTCAGCTGCCGGCCACACATGGACATCGGTCGCGGCGCACCCACTCGCCGCAGTCGCCGGCGCTACGCTCCCTGGAAGTGGACTCGTCCTTCCATCGCGGCATTCTGGGCTACATTGATCGTGAGCTCAAGCAGAGCTCGCCCACGCCCTCGGCACTGAGCATGGGCGCGGGCAGCAGCGGGGGAGGTGGCGGCGTGGGCGGCGGTGCCTCGCGCAAGCAGCAATCGCTGTCGGATCCTCAGGCTAGTCCCGCCCAGCGTTCGCTGCGCTCGCGGAACAGCTTCGACAAGAGTCCGCGGCGGAAGCGCAGCAAGTCGGAGTCCCGCAGGAGGCGGGAACGGAAGCTCATAGCCGCTGGGGAGATGGAGGTGCGCCAGGCCAACGAGACGCTGATGCGCTACCTCAAGCAGTGCTCCGATATGCATGATGCGTCGCTGTCGGGCGAGCTGGAGATTGATCAGAGCCTGGAGGAGCGACGAGTGCATCGGAAGACGAAATCGCAGCGCGACAAGCGGGGCCAGCTCATCAGTAAGTATCAGACTCTGCACCCGCTCCTGCTCCTGTTCCTGTAACTCCTCCTCCTACTCCCACCCAGATTGCCAAATTGTATTCCATTGAGAAAAAGCTCTTCACACAACCCACAACAAATACGATTCTGCGCAGTTGCAATGCTCATCCCTCTCACCCACTCTCTCTCTCTTCCACTCTCTCTATCTCGCTCTTTCACTGTTATCTGCAGGCAAGCTTTACTCAGCTGGTGGGCTATCGTCCATATTGAAGGAGCTGGCGGATGACATTGCGCCCGCCGAGGGCGAGGAGATCTACAATCCATTCACTCCGGTCGTCTCGCCCACGGACGATACGCCCGCGCACATCGACAAAATGTTTCTGCAGACGTCATCGGGCTATCGACCAGTGGAGCAGAGCTACTACAAGCGTTCCTTTGTGGGTGCCGCACGCGGCGCAGCTGGCACCAGCAGCAGCTGCATTGGCATCGATGGCATCTCCGCAGCGGAGCTGGGCGGCGCTGGACGTCTCTTTCGCTCGAGCGGCGGCGGCTCGGCCAGCGGACGCGGCAGCTACGGCGACACACACTGTCTGCTGGATGCCAACCTAAATCGGTGGGTTAATCCGGGTGGCGACACCCGCGTGGGCGTCTATTATTATGCTCTTTTGTCTGTTGCGTGTATCTAATCCGGCGGTTACACGCTATTTATATCCGCCCTCAGACTGATGTAGTACAAACGCACACAAACACACACATACACACACAGGCACAAACACATTTAATTTGAACCAATGGATTTCCAATGAAAATTTGGTTGCTATTCATGCTTATCTTGTCTCTCGTCCCTTGCGTGTTTATTTTAGTCCCAAGACTTGGTTCTAAGAAAAGCTTAGCCGTCGAGCTCTTTTGTGTGCACGAATTGCGCAAGGAGCCTTGAGCCGAGTTCGTGGTCAGATGTTTTAGCTGGCATTGAAAGGCATTCAAATTGATTTCCAGAAGAACTAGTTAACTTACATATTGGACAAAGACTTAATCCAAGATGAATGTAAAATTATTACTAAGTCTTTGGGCAGTTTGATGGAATACAATTTGAAATGAGACCAGGGATTATTTTATGTCTATTTTTGATATCATCATAAAGTGTGGAATTCATGATATTCAAATTTGATATCTTAAGAACAGAATTAATGAGATATAACGGGCAAATCCACTTACAAGACATAGTCTTAAAATATAATTCGTAGTATATTCTTAGATCGACTGTTGCAGCACGAAAATTAAGTCTTGAGATGAGCAAATATTTATTTAGGTACATGTTAGCTATATTGGCGATCAGTTCTTTTTACCTAAATACGTTCTTTCAACTTATCCTTGGGTGAGCTTAACTAAAGTTGTCCTAGAACTCCAATATATTATTAGATCTTAACACTTCAGTCTAGTGTTTTTAATGGGCTCACAGGTAATTTTTTCTGCAATAAAAGAAACTTTGTTGGAAGTAATAATTAGTTAACATTTTGATAAGTTGAGTCTCAATTTAATATTCTACAAATCTAGTTTATAACTGAACTTAAAATGACAAAGAAAAACT